TTGTTGCCAAAATAGTATTGCGCTTAAATTCATGAAGTCTAGCTACCATAGAGGAAATTTCATCAGAACAATTACCATGAAAGTATTTATAGAAAACACACAGAGAAGCTATGTTATGGTGATGGGAAAATGACTGAAGTCAAGATACCAGGTCAATAATATTGGATTTTATCAAGAATATCTAAATATATAGCATTGGCATCAGACCAGATGTGGCAGCAATATTTAAAGCATATATATATGTGTTGTGGTAGAATCCACCTAATTTACATAGTGGTGTACCGACCATATAAATATGGTTGGTACCGGGAAGAGAAGGGGAGGAATCAAGAGATCCCATCCAGAGACTCTGCCCGACTGCGACTAAGTCAACACATGGTCTTCCCAAGAATATACAAAAGACTATATGTAAATATTGTGTACACTTTCTTGTTTCAATACATTTTGTTCTAAGTACATTTTGTGTTGCATTAGGCAAGTTTCAACAATATGGTAGATTTATAAATATGTAAGATAGATTCTGTTGAAAAAAAGTCTTTAGCTCGACACAGTGAACCAACTTTCCTAGCAGCAGAGCTAGCAATTAATTCAATATACCCTTTCCACTTCATGTTTGTGGAACTTGTTAGTCTGAAAAGGCATAATGAGTCACTCTTATAGCAACCAGGAGGTGCAGGGTGACATAATGGTTATTGATATGCAAAATGAAATTGGTGGATTTCAAATTAAGACTGTTCATGTTCACTTTGCTCATCACTCTGTCCTACCAACAGATATTTCGAGAAAAAAAAATGCCACTTCACAAGTGTGTCACAATGGCTGGGCAAAGAGAATCCTCATAACAGACCAAATTATGTTTCTGCTTTGTTTATACTGACAGCAAGTCACATTAACTTGCATGTGCCTCAAAAGAAATGAAAACGTCCTCGGTAGCTGGTTAGTGAAGTGCATTTGGAATGTTTTTGTCTATTCCTGCTAAGAATGAAGAATTTCTGCTTGTTGCTGACAACCCTAACACACTGACCTGTCTGCTTTTACCCTACTCATATTTAGATTATAAATTGTTTCATAATTAGATGACAACAGCTTACAGACAGAAACAAGTCTTTGGACACTTGTCTATTTATTTATGCTACTCTGGCAATATTACGAAAGTCTTGATTTTAGAAGCTGCGGAAGATTCTGTAAAGTATGAAATGACAAAAGAAATAGTTATAGGTGTAAGAAAGAGAATCAGATGAAGCGTGTTTTATTCACACAGAAAAATGAGAAACAGAACAATGGAAGTGGAATCGGGTTAACATAAATAGCTATTGAGGAAATGGTGAAAAATAGACCCAGTTGTTTGTTTTGACTAAAACGGTTAACTGTTGCCAAAATTAACCTTAGGTCAGACAAGAGTGACAAGTGAATTTATGAGAAATATAACCTTGTATTGAAACCTTAGAATAACTGTGTGTATGCAAACATGAGGTTTCAATAACATAATCAGAGAAAGAACTTCCCCATTTCTTGTCACGTGCCAGTTTCAGCCAATAGGATGAACTGGTGGATGATAACAGAATGGGGAACTGCCCCTTTTCTGAACTATACTATTAGGTGAGCCAATCAGATTGAGGGTAGTGTTAATTCTGGAAATCTCTATATATTCAGGTGCACAGTGGTGGTAAAATCAGTTGAAGGCAGGAATTACCAGTTGCAGGGGGTGTGGCCAGGTTGCAGGGTTCAAGTGAGTGCTACAAAAAAAGACTACAGAAATTGTCAAAAGCAGATCCTGAATTTAGTTCCTTAAAGAAAACTGCCGAAATCGAATTGTGACGCATGATACTGACAGAAATTGCCTAACTCAGGTCTGAAGTTAGTTACTGAGTTACTGAAAGAAAGTACCTAAAACCCAGACCAGTAATACCACTGTTGGCTAGTTCGATCCAAGGAAGCATCAGCCATAAAAATCCACAATTGCCACTGAAATAAAATTTATGATTCACAACACCAATTACCTTGATTTTCTTACGACATTAAACTCATGTTAATTGTTGCCAAATGAGTCAAGTTGATAATTTTGGTGAAGATACAACTGGGTGATACCAGTCAGACTTTAAGCCTGTGATTTTGCAAGCTGCCAATTGCTGTTGGGCTTGTTTTGACCAGAATGACAAGGTACCTCTTCATTTTTAAATAATCACAATATGGAATAGAAAGACCGACAATTTAAATTTATCCTTTTGGTGTATTTTTATATAAGATTAATAATTACTAAGAAGCAAACATATTTCCAAATATCCAATTCAGAATAAAATATTTTTATATGTACTAGACTAGCATCGAGATCTCATCAATTTATACTTGAGCTGGCAAGATGTAGCCGTAAATTTTATGCTAACAGTTTCTTTTCTTGTACTTCTCGCTTGTGGAACTCCATGCTTTCTAGCCAACTTTAGTCCCCCAAAATTTAATTACAATGTCAATCACTACTGTTCTCCTGATTACTCTTCTATTGCTTTCATCCTTAGTAATGTTTCTGCTTTCTAATTCTTTCACACTCAGTAACCCCTTGTGTCTTATTAGATTTACTGCCTTGCTTCGGGTGAACTTGATTTAAAAAGAAAAAAGAAACTTTGATAACTTTTGTGATTATATTTTTTTTCAAGCCCTTTGAAACATTTTCTTTCAGGAATCTTTGACTCTATTTCCTTGCAAACAACCATGAAATCCTGCTTCTAAACTTTGATTTTAATCTTTGATATTAATATTATATTGATATTAATGTTTGACTCCTCTTCCTTGTAAACAGTCATGAAATCCTGTTACTAATGTCCCTTTGATGAATACAGTCTTTCAAGTTTTACCATGAGTTTTCCATTGGCTTCAAGTCCTGGCGATTGTCTTAGACACTGAAGTATTTCTACATTGTTTTGAACAAGCTGTATGTTTTGGGCTGTTATCTTGTCCAAAATTCCAACTCTCAATATTCAAACGTTCAATTGTTGCAGCAAAGAGAACAAATCAGCTTCTAAAATACTTCGCTATATCATTGCATTCTTAGTTCCTTCAGTCATTTGAAGTGCACCTGTAGTGTGAATATATATATATATATATATATATATATATATATATATATATATATATATATAAGCAAATATATGGATATAGATCCGACAGTATGAAGAAAATATATGAAAAAAAAAACAAACAAAAATTCTAATATGCAATTATGCTGTTTTAATGTTAATATAATGTCAACGTCGGACATTTCGGTCTAATAGACCATCTTCAAGATATATTCATAAAACATAATTAACATTAGACCATATTCAATTCAACATGAAAAAGACGATGGACATAAGTGCAAGACCAATCCAAACAGATAACTGAAATCTTTTATAAGATCAGCGTTCTGTTTAAATATGATCACGTGCATTAGTCACGTATGGCGATGTTGTGGAAACGTATTCCTAAAATTTGAGTATTTTGAATGAAAAACGAAAAGAATTTTATTTTGTTCTAAAACTTATATGTACGTTTGTCGAGCATTAATCTTGCTAGAAAAGGGGAAATATTAAAGAAGCCAGGTCTAGTGTTCACCGTGCGTGAGATAGATATTATGCCTGCTTCATAAATCCACTTTAGATTGGTCTCGCTCTTATGTCCATCCTCTTTTTCACGTTGAATTGAATATGGTCTAATGTTAATTATGTTTTATGAATATGTCCTGAAGATGGTCTATTAGACCGAAACGTCTGACGTTGACATTATATTAACATTAAAACAGCATAATTGCATATTAGGATTTTTGTTTGTTTTTTTCCGTATATTTTTTCTTCATATATATATATATATATATATATATATATATATATATATATATATATATATATATATATATAGCTGGCCACTCATATTTGAAGATACCTGTCTACTAGAGTGGCTAGCCAATCTCTGTTGCAGATGCTCGCTCAGGCACATTTGTGTTTGTTTGTTCAACACCCACAGAGCCCACCTGTGGTTTATACTGCAGCTATCCTGAGCAGACCTTAGTTACAGTTTCTGGGAGAAAGAGTATTATCTAGCATGATCAACAATCTAAACAAGGCCAGCACATACAAACCCTTGATCACGATGACTTGTGACTTTGTGCTAGCACAGCTATTGACGCCCCTTCCCCCCACTAGGGTTCTGTCTACCCAGTTTCAGTCACAGGGCTTGGGTCAACCTGTGGTATAGTTTTCAGGCACTTTCCAAAGGTGCCGCACGCTGTGATCGACCCCCTCCAGTCTGATACCATCTAAAAGTTTTCTTCCTGATAAATCGACCATGGTGAGATTTGAACCCAGGTCTCATGATCAGAATGTGAATGTTCTAACCACTCTGCAAGTATTGAAAAAGAAAACCTCAAACTTTGATACTTCCACAGCCATTACTTAGTATTGGTTTAATGTTTTTTTTTTTTTTTCAATCCCCTTTTCTCCATCCATGACATGGCCTACAGCCACACCATGTTGAAATACCAATTCCCATACAATCAGCAAGGTTAAGCAATGTCAAGCCTGTTCAGTACCTAGATAGGTAACCACTTAGGAATACCAGGTGCTGTCAGCTTGGATGTGCAGGTGGTGTAGTGGATAATGGCTCAGAATTGTTAATCAGAGAGCCGAGTTTGAATTCCTGTTGGTTTCATTATATTTATTCATGCGGAAATACACTCTGGAAAAAGTACAAATCCACCTCTTGTCCCCCAGGTATGGACTAATTAGTAAGACTTGTATCACTAAACCATAATTATCTCAAAAAAAAAATTCTTCCAATCTTGAAATATTTTCTAGCTTTAACTAACCTGCAAAAGGTTGATAAGCTGTAGAAAGCAAATCAATCGTTTGTTCTTGAAATAACAACAAAGATGAAGATAGTAGCCCACATTGAGCTATCCTGCATTCTAATGTTTATCCAATTGCCATAGACTTCTAATACTTACCCTCAACCTAATTCTATAATACCATGTCTATGGTCAAATCACACTGAAAATACTGGTTCTTGTTTGATCACCGAAGTTAAGCAGCATCAACCTTGGTTAGCACTTAGATGGGGGACTGCTTGGGAACACCAGGTGCTGTAAGCAACCTCCTGCTATCCGAGATATGTTTTTGGCTTTAACCCTTTAGCATTCAACACATTCAAACCCGCCCCATAAATATCGGCTCTCAAAGTCTCACTGTTTACGAATGAAAATCAATCTCTGCATATATGACAAGCAGAGTTGTGGCACAAAAATTTAGTTTTTGTTTTGTCAAACCAATAGACATGCTTTGCAAAAATAATTAAGCTTCTCATAAGAGTTTCATTCAAGAATCCTTTGTGTAAATTTTTTTTTTCTAGGGTAGATAATTTTAAATCTTTTCTGTATAGTTCATGATTAGTAGTTATTTTAGTAACCAATAATGCAGTTTCTCTTAAATCATCTGAGGGTTCCTTTTAGGTTAATTTTTCTTTGCCTTTTCTTAGCATTTTTTTTTTTTTTTTTAGCTATTCATAAATTTTCTGTGGAGCACTAGTTCAAAGAAGGTTTCTTGATGGTTTCATCTTCTTCCACTTCAGAAAAAAAAACATGAAGTATTTCTGACGGAGATTTAACATCTTGGCAATGACGCAATTGCTCAAACTTTCATTAAAGCTGTTGAATTAATTTTATTTGATTGAAACTTCCTTTATTTTAACCACAACAGCCTTATTGCAGGAAGTTGAGCCAGCACATGATGGGGGTAATGACAAATATAGTGAAGTATTGCTGGAAAATTCCAGAAGTTTCTATGCAGATAACCTGTGTATTTTAAATTTTTAACAGATTTACATATTAATACAACATTCTCCCCACCTCCAATTTTATTATTTTTGTTTGACAATGTAAATTTAAAATACTTTATTTTGGCAAAAGGAGAAAGGGAATGTACTTTAAAAAAAAGCTTAACCAAAATAGAAAGCTACTTCATTTTGTTTTTGTTTTGTTTTTTTAACTGTTCATCTACTTCAGATGACACATAATTTATAAGAATATCCAGCTCCTTACCCTCAGTATGCTTGAGGAAGTTTAAAAATTTCCAGTACCAATGATTTCATATTTTCTCTGCCCTGAGAGTCTTACCATCTAGATCCAGAACTTTAAGTTTTAGTACACTATCTCTTTTGATACATGAACCAAGAATTAGTAGTGAATAGAATGTTGTAAACTGTAATTAATTAAAAGTAATCACTATTATTTCTCTTGTAGTTCCATTTTCATGGTTAATATTTGTTTAGCCTCCAGCTATATCAATTGCTATTTATAAATAGCCTATGAATACAAGTGTGTTCATATACTTTGTTTCTTTTCCACTGTTATTTTTATTTAAATGGTGGAGTTGTACAATAGGCAGTGTAACTGGAAATAATCAATTTTACAAATTTTTTTTTCAGACTATTATAAATTGTTTGAAAAAAATCTACAAGGTGTCCATAAAGTCTTTTTACAATTTAAAAAAAGTATTACAAAATCAAATGAACAGGCAAATATGTGGAAATTATTACAAAATGTGGAGTAGATGTTGAATTTTTTTTAAAACTAATTTAATGCCAGTTGCAGTGGGGAGTGGCTGGGTTGTAGGGTTCAAGTGGGTGCTACAAAAAAAGACTCCAGAAATTGTACTTCTCATAAGAGTTTCATTCAAGAATCATTTGTTGAAAATTTTCTTTTTTTTTTTTTTTTTTTTTTTTTTTTTTTTTTTAGGGATAGAGAATTATGAAGACCTTGTAAATTTTTTTTTGCTGGTTGAACGTGTTGAATGCTAAAGGGTTAAAGCCAAAACATATCTTGGATAACAGGAGGTTGCTTACAGTAAGTCCAGGGGAGTGATATCTGGTAAACGAGGTGGCCAAGGAATTGGGTCATTCCTTCCAATCAATTGGTTTGGAAATGTTAGGGGTTAACCTTTAGCACTCTGTAGGTGACTATTTTCACTAAGCAAATTGTTAGTCTTGAAGTTGAATTTGAATTTCTTGGTTGTGTCATCATATCCTTCTATGGTAACAATCTTGACTAAAATTGAAAGCGAGCTACTGCAATTTCTTATATATAAAACATATATATATATATATATATATATATAAATATATATATATATAGAGAGAGAGAGAGGGGGATTCCATATACAGTAAAAATGTAAATGCAATGTGATTAAAAACTTTGATAACTACTGGGAACATAGGCCATATCTGATCAAGATATCTCATCAATTGCTTTTGTAATTGTTGTAGCATACCTATGGACAATAATGTCCCCATTCACATAAATACAGTAGTAAATACTGTATGTTGGTCTGCAGTTGGAGATTCGTCTCCAGCTGTGCTTGTCAAACTCTCTACCTCCGGACAGAAAGGATCGCCAGATGAGGCTGTGTCGAAGGGCAGAGACTTGTCTTGAGAAACAGCTACCCAACGCTATTTTATATGGGGTCTATAGTGAATTTTTGGCTGACTCTACAGGATCATATACCCCACATTAAATTCAGCCTTGTGCCACATCTGAATGCGTGGGGTAGATATCCTGCAGTTGGGGATTTGTCTCCAGCTGTGCTGGTCAAACTCTTTGCCTCCGGGCAGAGAGGATCCCCAGATGAGGTTATGTTGAAGGGCAGAGTCTCGTCTTAAGAAACAGCTAGCCGACCCCATTTTATACGAGGTCTATGAGGAATTTTTGGCCGAGTTTATGGGCTCGGATACCCCACATTAAATTCAGCCTTGTGCCACATCTGACCGCATGGGGTGGTTGGTAGATATCCTGCAGTAGGAGTCATTGTGGAATTCACTTGACTCATTTCTAGCAGTTGACTACTTTTATATGCCGCTGGTGAATCTTATATGTATTGTTCTTGTCCTAAGTATTATCAGGCATTACCAACCTTTGTTTGATTATTCTGTTCAGTAACCTTCTCTAGGTTACAACAGTAATATATTTTTTAAATTGTAAAGAGACTTTATGGACACCCTGTATAACAGTATGAAAAAAAAAGTTTCCTACTATTATAGATCGATTGGATGTACATTGTGTTTGATTTTTCACAAATCATTCCTCATTTTCATTGCACCATCTATACATCCAAGCTTACAGCACCTGGTATCTGAGAAATCAGAGAGCTGGTTTCAAATTCTAGCCAAGTTCATTACATTCACCTGTGCAAATAACCTTGCAAAAGGTATGAATCCATCTTTTCTCTTCCTACTTATGGGTTGAATAGCAGGACAGACTAGGTTCTGTATCCTTAGTTGGCACGGGTACACTCGTCTAACATAAGCTTCATGAAAAGTGAGTGATACTTAGCCTTTATGGAACAAAGTATTTCTTGGTGTTGGCCTTGTACAGTTTAGTGTTAAGTACACTGTATACATATTATTCTTACAGAAGTGTTCAAGTCTAAGATTGGCTATACAGTTGTTGGGAACAAGAAGAATTTTGCTATTTTCTGGTCAACCAGCACATATGTAATGTGCTATTATTTTTTCCAGATTAAAAGATGTGCTGATCTGTCAGTTGTTATAAAATCAATTTGAAACTTGGAACGAGAAAATGGAGAACCAAGTTCAAATTCCAGTTGGGTTCATTACATTTATTTACATGCAAATACCCTGTGACTGATATGAATCAATCTCTTCTCCTGCCTGTTATAAGCTGAATAGCATGACACCTATAGCCTTGGGTAGCAGCTAGTCTACCACAGAAAAAATGGCAACCTACTGTGGAAAAATCTCTTCCTAGTCAGTTATGAATTGAAAAAAAGCCATGATCGCCCAAGCCTGTATCATGTATGTCACTTAAGTAACCATTGATTGATTAATTGATTTTTTTAGTTTATCAATCTTTTGCAGGTTATTTAAAGCCAGAAAATATTTATAGATTGTTAGGATTTCTTGGAGATAATAAAGATTTACTATTACAAGTTCTTTTCATTGAACCATCACTGTGGGTAAAAGTGATGGATTCATGCCTTTCCCAAGGGGATTTGCATGTAAGTGAATATAATGAACCTGACAGAAATTGGAACTCTGATCTCCACTTTCCAATTCGTTTTTTATTCATTGCACCATCCATACATCCAAGCTTACAGCACCTGGTATTCCCAAGTGGTCATCCATATAGATACTGAACAGGCTCAACGTTTCTTAACTTCAGTGATCATATGAGAACTGGTGTTTCAACATGATATGGCCATAAGCCTATCTTAGATTTTGCACTTTTGATCGCATATATCAAAAGTTTTCTTTATTATTTAATTTTATTAATTTTAAGAGGGGTGTCTATTTCACTGTGTAAATTTAGTGTAAACTGATCCTGCTCAAATTACAATTGGTATATGGAGGGAGGGAGTGAGTGAGAGTTGGGTGTGTGTGTGTGTGTGTGGGTAGCATGGAGGGTCTTATTAGATTAAAGGTCTGAATTGGAAGTAAAGAATGGAACTCATCTGAATATGGAAGACAAAACAAAATATGCTCATGCCACATGATTTTTTTTTTTTTTTTTTTTTAAATTTTAAAAAGTAAATTTTTAGAATTTCATTATCCAGAATGCTTTTTTCAGATATTATTATCAATTACACATTCCAGATTGCAATATTTAAAAAGTTTGATGTTTTGCAAATTTTAAGAAATCACCTGGTCTGAACATATTAACCTTTAACATTCTGGAGGTGATTTTTGTTTTCAAAGTAGAAATTTTTATCCTGCCCCTGCAAGTGACTCAGATGAATGAATGATAGCATGTTTGAATTTTGCAGTTGTGTTGTCATATCCTTCTATGGCAACATAAAATGACCATAACTGAAATTAAGTAGTGCAGTAGAGGAGAATTGAAAAACAATATGATGGGAAGGAAATTAGTGAATAATGCAGTGTGAAAGGTTAAAAAGACAAAATATCCCTAAACATGGACAGCAGAATGAAAACAATCTGCAATTGCAGATAAATAATGGGTTTATTTTGGAATTTCCTGAAGGTTACCTGGATCAACAGTAACCTTACAAAGACCAAAGTGCACAATGGCCAAAATGTTTGGATAACAGTGAAAACGGCAGCATTAGTCTGAATGTAAATAAATTTCTTCATGTATTTTTTTTTTGCACAACTTTTCAGTTTGAGTACAGATGATACAACAGACACCCAAGAAAAAGTCATGGCTGAAAATTTGAGAACAATCATATAAAGACAAAGAATTTAGCCCAAAAGTTCATTCATTAAACAAACTTACAGCCAAACCCAAACTAGTAGTATTCCACCATCACCACTAAGCAGACTCTGAACTTTAACCTCTCATGATGGATAGGTGTTCTCTCAAAGAGGCTGGAACATCTCAAGTGGAACTCATATATCCGATCTATTGCTAAATTTGCTGGAATGATAGATGGGTGTTCTCTTAAGGAGACTCCTTGCCTTGAGTGTCTATTGGGACGCAATCTCACCCCAGACCTGAAGTGGAACTCATATATGCGATCTATTGTTGAAGAAACTGAAAAAATGGTCAGTTAATTGTACCACTCCAGTAAGTATCTGACTCTCTCCTGCTATATACTATCTTTTCAAGAGCCAGATCAGAACAAAAATGGAGTATTCAGTATCAAAGTAACTTTGAGTGGCTCTTGGGCCTTGTATTGGGTGAACATTAGCATAAAAAAAAGAAGTATTTTTTAACATGTACTCTATTTGATAGCATATCAGTTCCCTCTACAATTACTGTTTTTATTACAGTATTATAGAGTTAAGGTAGATATATAGTATTATGGCATCTGTGTGAATATTACTCTAAAGGATACCCTCACTTTGAATAGAACATCCAGAAGATTCTTTTTTAGCCATTGTTTGTAGAAAATAAGGGGAGGTAATAAGCTTTCAAGGTGTAGCTCTTCTGTCATTAAAAATGTAGGATCTTCTGAAATACAGTAATTTGTAATTTGGGGTACAAATTTTAAGCATCTTTTCCTTATTTTCTGTGGAATTTAAGCCATCCTGAATGTGCTCAAAAGAACTTCTTTCTATTTTCTTTTTTTTTTTAATTTTAATATTATACAACATTGTGAAAGCTATGAATAACTTTTTTGAATTTGCTTATTCTCACATTTCAAAATTTGGTAGTTCTGAGCTTCTTGATGTTGTTCAATTGTTGATTGTTGTATGACTTATGGTAGGTTGTGAGGTCCCCCATTATGAATGAGTTGTTTATCCTATAACAGTGCTCATTCCCACCATCTATTGCTATAATTGATTTGCATCTATTTTGGCCTTGTGTAAGGATTAAAAGAAAATGCACAAAGTGTTGAAAAATACAAAATAAAACTGCCATATGTGGTCTAATATTCATGATATATATCTAGAGATCTTTGATAAAATCCAAAGAAGAATCCGCAATATTATTGGTCCTGATCTGGTGGCTCAGCTTCAGTCACTTTCCCATCACTATAAATTTGCTTCCCTGTACCTTTTCTATAAATACTTTTATGGCAACTCTTCGGATGAGCTCTTTGTCAGGGTACCTAGACTTTATGAATTTAAGTGCAATACTAGTTCTATGCTAACAGTTTCTTTTCTCGGACATCTCGCTCCTGGAACTCTCTTCTGGTTCCATGCTTTCCAGCTTTAATCTTCAAAAATTTAAATGCCATGTCAATCAATTTCTGCCGTCCTCCTCATCACTCTTCTTTTGTTCTTGCTCATTAGTAATGATTCTGTTCTTAAATCTTCCGCACCAAGTAACCCCTTGTGTCCCAGTGGCTTTACTAACTTGCTTGGGGTGAAATCAATTTTAAAAAAGAAAATATAACCAAAATAATAATACAGAAGGATAAGGTGAAAGTTGAAGTTTCAAGAGTTCAGGTGTAAAAGTCTTGACGTGTGTGTGTGTGTGTGTGTGTCCATCCACCTGTCCATCTTCAGGAGGATATATATATATATATATATATATATATATAATCTCTAAATGTAGTAGCCAATATTTGATAATGTGGTGAAAGTAAGTAATGTAGCAAGGATGATTTAGCCTGGCAGTTAGTGGTGCAAATGTTGTATTTCGTCTCCAGGTATGTTAAGATAACCGCATCATCAGAGAATTGATAAAATTAATTTATAGACTATGGTTTTGGTTGATTTTTCCATTTGTTTATAATTAAATCTATAGATTCACCTCGAAAGGGGTGCTCTGCTTCACATTGGCTCACAGCCTTATATCCTGGCTATGGAAGCTTCCTGTGAAATTTTAGTCTCCTTGCTGTTATTGGTATAGACAACAAAGACAAGGATATTGGTTCAAAAGAATGAAGTTATAACAAAAACAATACTCAGCATTAGAGAAAAGAGGCTGATGGGTACAGTGGCCAAAACTTTTGTAAAAATGAGGGAATGAGAAATTTTAACAAAAATGTTCTTTTAGTTTTGTTTCAGCTTGTAAGAGCTGATCTCTCCTCTGATTTTGCTCTAACAGCTCAGTGAGAGGAAAAAGTGGCTGGTCACATTTATTGCCTCAAAAAACCAAACTAGTGACATTCCACCATCAGCAATCAAATCCAGAACTTTCACCAATTATGATGAACGGATGTTCCTTCAGGGAGCACCATTTGGGACTTAAACTCAGCCCACACCTCAAATAGAACTTGTACAGATGATCCATCATTAAAAATTCTGGAAAAAACGTATTGCTGCAGCAAGTACCTATCTCTTCCTGCCATCCTCTACAGCAGCAAGATCAGACCAAAAATGGCATACTGCTCCAATATCTGGGCAGGAGCTGCTCAGTCTTCACTTTCAATTCCCAATAGAGTCCCAAAGCATCTCTATGTCCTTGTGGGTAATGAATTATATTCCACACTACAACCCCTTTCTCACAGACAAGATGATACAAGCTTCTCACTGCTCTATCACTATTTCCACGGAAAGTGTTCAGATGAACTACACTCCTTAGTTCCACTAGTCCTAACTTCATGGTTAAGACCCACTATGCCACACACATTGTAGCATCTCACCCTCATTCTCTTCATATTCCACTGGTGAGATATCAGTTTCAACGAGCAGCTTCCCATGAACAACTACCTTGGGGAACTGACTCCCAAGAGGATGCTTTCCCGATGACTACAATGTTAACCTGTTCAAGTCTAGGGCCAGCTGTTATCTTCCCCACATATACCCATAAACTGTGCCTCTTACTCTTCCATCCGCTACTTTACATGGCTTGTGGGCCTTTGTACAGGGTGAATATCATTGTCAAAAATAAAAAATAAATCTTAAGCTGTGCTTGATCCCTGTCCAAATTTCTAGTGGCCAGTTCTGCCTTTTTTGGGATAAACATCTACAGATTTGTTTGGTTTGGCCCCTGCAGCTGTCTAGCTGCTGACCACTAAAGTGGTCAAACCAGTATCAAATTATTTTTTCTCTTTTGGGTCAGTAAAGAGCTTCTTTTGATCTCTTAGTGTTTTTATAAGGAGAACAGAAATTGTTTTTGAAAAGATTAACCTCTGCTTTGACAGGTGTGTCGGATAAGAGCTGTGTTTGATTTTTCACAAATCATTCCTCATTTTGGCTTCCACTAATTTTCCTTAAATGAATCTCCCAAAATTGATCTGTTTGGCTACTAACAGCTTCATAAGAGCAGGAACAATGTTTAAATTTTTAAAAAATGGTCTCTATTAAGAAAGAGAGAAAAAAAAGTGGAGAGTGTGGGAGAGAGAGAATAGAGGGAAGGAGTGTAGAGAGAGTGGTGTGGGAAAGTTGATGAGATAGAGAGGGTAAAAGAGTAGGTGAGAGAAAGGGAAGGGGTGGGGGAGAAAATGAAGTGACAGAAAGTGAGAGGAGAGAATTCAGTGAGAGAAAGTGTGGGAGAAAGTGAGAGAGTTCCTACTAACTTAAATGAATCTCCCAAAATTGATCTGTTTGGCTATAAACAGCTTCATAAGAGCAATGATAATTGGTAGGAGCAATGTTTGAATTTTTATAAATAGACTCTCATTTGATTGGAGATAGAGAGCGGGGGAGAAAATGGAGAGAAAGTGTGAGAGAGAGTGAGGGTTAGTAAGCAAGAGAGAGAGAGATCCCACTTCTTCTTTATGTGCTATGTGCCCTCAGGATGTAGGCAACCATTGCTCTCCACAACTTCCTGTCCCTTGTAGCTCTTAATAAACTTTGTCTTTCTGTTATTCTTCCTAAGCCCTGTTCCACCATCCATTTACTCAAGCTCAT